TTCATAGACATGTTAGAAGCTTGGAGTTCTAAACAATTAAATTACGATCAGAGAAATAAATAATTACCTTCGGTTTATGTTTGAGTACGATTCGAATCTCCTCCTCAGCACGATCTATCGTGACTGGGTCATTTTCGAATTTTTGTCTTTCCCTCCAATCCTTCTCGATCCACCGTACATAATAATTCTTTTTCGCTTAGTGACAATAGCGTGTAATGTTAGAGTTGATTCATCATTGTTAATTAAGCAACCAACCTGCCAATAAAATAGAAGGAAGTGTGACCAAGTAACTTGTAATAACCTATCGTGTAGGCAGTAAAGGTCATAGGCCTATAGTTCAATAAAATTAATCTGTTGACTCAGTTTGCTTTGGTCAATCCTTGTCCTTTCCAGAATGGGTTTACGTGTGGTTTTCTAAAAGGCTTTATAGCGTCTGTCTACACAGCCTCAGACAGGCCACACCTTTCATTTGAATACACTTACCATTTATAATCGCCATGCAATTTGTTAGTCTGTGACTTCAGAGGTTGGAGAGACATTAGCATCACTGGGTAATCCTCAAATTTCGATTAGTCTTTGATCTTCGAGATACGTTCACCTATTATTGATATTGCGTTATTTTTTTGTGGATTGTTACATTTTTCGCATTTAACTTTTACTGAAAGAAGATACAAGTTCAGAATGATAGTTGTAACATATGACAATGGAGTCCTCGTAATTTGTCTACCGTTACTTCTCTTTTTCATTTGCTTACGTCACAGATAAACTTTTTGGCTCCTGTTATGGAGTCTAAATACAATGGCACAGATCTATTGGAGCTGCGATGTTCGTACTAATTGTCCTATACCTTCGGTAGGTGGCAGTTCAGTACGTCTGTTAAATCAAGTAATTCCGTTACCAGTTGCAAGATGGCAGAAGTAGTGCTATACATAACTGTGATCCATTAGTTCACTGCCCTTGCACTCGGAGCCGCGTTATGTGTCGGGCAGCGACGGGGGGGTGACGGACGGTATAGCCAGCAAGCGTAACGATTCCATCAAGAAAATTACTCGCCGGGAAAAGCTAATAATCACGTGCCTTTTCCTCCCCTTCGTGGTAGTGACAGTCCACATGATTTATTGCGCTATAAAATATCATTTGTATTGCGCGTCAGAAAAGGGCAGGGTGATGTAGAAGGAGGGAGGGGGAGACATGATTAATGTAGGTAGACGGGCGGGCACAATGAATACATGCACGGCATTTTGTGCTAGAGACCAGAATCGCTTAGAGAAGTGACGGTCTTTCAAGACTTCTTCAGTCGACTTTCCATTCAACAGTTCTTTTCAGCCATTTGAGTCTGGTTAATTGCAAGCACGCTTATGTAATCTGTAGTCTGTAGAAGTTGCATAGCTGGCAGGATTATGTTCGCCAGTTAGGCATTATGAACAAGGTTCCATTTTACAAATGGTTTGTACCTAATTTATATATTGAATCTAACCATCATTTATACCACGAAACAATGACACTGACATGTTCGGTTGCCCGTGGCAAAATGTTCTGAACACATCTCGGATGTACGATACTCGATTTGAAGGTTGGTGTGTATTTCAGTGCCCCAAAATTGTGGGTGAGAATTTTTCAATCCTATAAACAGATTTTTCCTTCGCCTTAGACAACGTTCTGAGCACTCACTGTCAGCACACGAAACAAACAGTTAAGCTAAGATTGTGGCTTCGTTTTTCTCAAATTTTCTTTTCGGGTTTCATATTAAATTTGATTAAATTAGGTCCGGTAGGTTTGCACTAAACATGCTTAAAGCGGGCGGATTTCGTTCTAGTCCGTATCGATCCACTGCAATCCCTATTTCCATACAAATTAAATCAAAATTTAACAACTTTGTCTGCACTAGTTCATGGTTAAAACATGGATGTATAATTAAAGTGTAAAACTATAAGGCCTGTTTGATGAAGTATTAAATATAAATTTGGTTTTATTTAGTTTTGTTTTCTCGGTTTAACAGACTGTAAACGTACTTTAATTGTTGTGATATGTAATTTTGTATGTAGATCTACGTATTTCTGCATGAACTTCATTTATGTTCAAAGGCAACAATTTGTTATTTTCTAAAGAGACTCGAATTTTTCTGCCGACGACTCCGGAAATGGCGTTAATAAGATTTTGAGATTAATACTTCAATTTATGTTTCAATTCTGTCTTTTATACTATAATAATTTTACTTAATTGCTCTAAATAATAATTGCCTTAGCGAACCATACATTTTGTTATTGGTCTATTATTACCTTCAAACTGGTTTTGACTGCCAAATTATCTTATAGTATCCTGGGGTCTCGGGTTCGATTCCCGGCGGTGCCCGAATTTATAACTTGTGATGGGCAAGGCCGTGGTCTAGGCAACATGGAGTTTTCCTCCGGGGGCTTCCCCGGTTTCTCCGTGGCATCCCAACAATTACTCCATTCACACACAGAAGAAGGCAATGGCAAACCACTTCTGGATCATCTGCCAAGAACGTATATGAACAGATCCCAGTCCGAGAAAAGGATGGAAGGATCATGTTCATATGGACCTGTCGTCAGACAGAACAAACAAAACTTCCAGTTTGTATAGAAAATCTTCTCAATATCAAAGTGCTGTTAGGTCAGTAAAATCGAAGACGTTGCTTTGGTTCAATTCTGAAGGGTTTTGACGGTGGTGGATTACACTTCAAATTGTTCATTATCTGGACTTTTTCCATCGTTCTTGTCTAAAAGAAAGAAACCGCGACGTTTCGGAAACTGGCTCTTATTACTTTGGGTTTCGTGTTGGAGGGAGCAGACAACAAACTTGCTTATAGAATTTTTCTGGGGGAAATTTTTGCAGACCGAAAAGTAGTCTACATTTGGATGTGACATAATTCCAGATGTTGCAATAAGCCCTTTTAGTGACAATTGAGATTTTGTAGAACGTCGGGTAAAAGCAGGAATAAAACAGAACTTGCATTGTGATTAATATTTCTCAAAATTTTACTTTCAGTGACAAGTACCTAAATTATAATGTCCAGTTTCTTGTTGCAGAACGAAAGTATCTGATTTGTTAAATTTGGACAGCGGAAGGGCGGTCCTTCGTGAGGACGGATTTCTGTTCATGAAGGAGACACGTTCGTTCAAGGGTTGCATAAATTTCATCTAATTCATATTCTCTTCGCAATCAGCATGGTTAGAGTTCTTTGTGTTAAAAATTCCAGCATGCGATTTAAAAGTCTGTGCACATTTAAGGTCTACACAGTTCTTATACCTTTGTCATTGTCGGAACAAACATGACTAGTCATTGTTTCATCTGCATTCACTCCGATCGCAAACGCCTGCTCGAACAAGAAAGGCCATACAATGAATGAGAAAGCCAAATATGGCTGTCCGTAGGTAGGCTACATCTCACTCTTAGTTTCTAAGACACGTAGAATAAAAATAAAAGACCCGAGTGTTTGTTGTCAACATTTCGAGATTTGGTTTCCGCTTCTTTGTGGTCACCGCAAATTGAACGAGTTGGCACAGCAGCGCATACCTACACATGCCACGGTGTTTCCTTCAAGTAGTGATTCCCATCGCGAGGTCCGCGAACCACCGACGTTCCTCAGAATCTTCCAGACAAATCGATTGTCAGTTAAGAACGGACAAGTTGAGGAACAACTGTTATTGATGCCACTACTGAAACTAGAGAGTACCTTCGTCATACCGCGAGTGTCGAGGACAGCTTCAACACCCGCATACTTGGTTCGAAAAACTGTCTTCGGCGAAGTGGGTATAATCAGCGGTTCCGAGGCATATCGAGGTAATTTTTCTTCGTATCCATTGCCTCCTCTTCCTCAAAATATGATGGTGCTGTATTTATCTAGGAAAATGTACGCAGAAATATTTTCTAAGGCAGGGGTGGCCAACCCAAATGATCTTTCGGGCCACTTTGGAAATGCATCATAACTCCGCGGGCCACATATAAAATTATATATCCCCATATCAGATTTAGATACACTATAGACATTTTTTTTATAATGGCCAAAGTCTTTGGCCATTATAAAATAAATATATTTTGTAAAAGTGTGATGAATCTCGGGCCGCGGGTTGGTCACCCCTGTTCTAAGGGCTGCTGTTCTTGGCGTACTTTCGTCTTTTCTAACTCGACATAAGAAATTTATTAGTCTCTGGTTACTGAGATGGACCTAACAATAGGACCGAATGGAAGAGGAGAATTGAGGAGACCATGGACCGAATACGGACCGGAGAGCCATAGAAGAAGAAGGTTACTGAGATGCGATTCAGTCATCTTTCTGTATCATACTATGACATGTTCCAAACATCACCAAAATAGGCGATGATGAAATTGTCATTGATTTCACAGGAAGACAACATACGGCAAGACAGTTCTCCTTTCTTCAGACGTTTGTCCATTGCAATAAATTGATATAATTTCATGTAACAGATGGTCCAGTAAATTTCAAAATAAAAAATGGTAGGACCGTAAGTCAGTTAAGGACGTTGTATGAACTAAGCAATCAAACGATACGAGAAGATTATTAAATTTTAGAATCTGCGTAGGATAGGACGTGAAGCTTCATAAAACTCACGTTTGAAGTTGTGTTGAAACATTCAGTTTGTGCAGCCTACATCTGAATTTTAAGCAACAAAAATGATATAAATATTGTGGAGGTCGAAAGAGTTTGGAAGGTTAAAATTACGTCCCTTATGATCTAATGATACTAAATCAGTCCGTACTTTGGAATGTACCCAGAATACGCTCTTGGTCCCCTCGATGCACACGCATACAGTGGACCCGATAACAAAAACACTGTTGGCGTCATCAGGACTACATAGTTTATTAATGACAATGACGAATCACACACATGTTGTAATCATTGGCTGCTAATGAGTTCAGTTCACGGTCAATGCGACCTTCCCAGCTTGCATCCCGCACACCTCCCACGTTTTCAATTTTGTAATAGACACTTTGTTTGAAAACATAACCAATATTACAGCAAAGTTGCACAGGCGTTTATTTCGAATGGTTGTGTGTGCGTACAAGAGAGGTTTGGCACAGTCAATAAGCTATTCAAGGAGTGGTCTATGCGTTGGTATGTACAGCTCTGAGTCTACTGTTACCAGTACGTAATTGGTTGAGACATGTTGAATATGATTGAGATCTCTGTAACTTATTATTATGTAGTGAAATGTCAGCAAGAACACGGCTTTATTTTAGTACACGTGGGCATAACACTCCTACTTACAAAAGAATCTTTGTTGTGAGTTTTATGTGCAGAATGTCGTTATTCATTTTTTCTAATGGTGCAGTGTGAACAAAAGATGGAAGTTAACTTCTGAGAATTCAAGAATTAGATACTTTAAGAGGAATGCCCGAAAAGTCACGCACCCCAAAATTTAATTCCATGTTTACTGTACATATTAAACTGGTAATAATTACCAAATTACAACGTATGTTAAAACTACACTTCGTAACTTAAGCCGTTTGGTCTTCACTGTTTTAAAATTCTACCATCCGTCGGGATTTTTCAGTTAACAGAATTTAAAGTCTTGTTCGTTATCCGGCGACACGCGTATAAAACAGCTTCAAATAAAACAAACATTTTCCACTCTAGTACATTAAAATAACAAGTAGTTAATGACCGTCTTTCTTTGTTCCATTTTCCTCTCAATTAAATGGCGAATATGAATTAACTTTGTCGCTTTAAACAAGAATACGAGATTACAAAGAGAACTGGCAATTGTTTAAAGTAATAAATACCACGGAGTTCTGAGGCGTGGGCCTTGTGCCGCTTGGTCACGGGGACCCTGGGTTCGAATCCCACTCAAGGCATGGATGTCTGTCCGCGTCTTTCTGTGTTATGCTGTCCTGTGTACCGGTAGAGGCCTTGCGACGGGCCGATCCCTCGTCTAAGGAGTCCTACCGAATGTCTATAGATCAAAGCCAACGAAAGTTGGGACCCGCAGTGCTCAGGCACTTGAAGAACGGGTCGTTCCCAGTATCCAGTATCCAGTAATAAATACCACAGAAAAATCAAAATTATGCACCGTTCATTTGTTAATTTTTTCAGTTCCTCAGTTGATGTTCAGGAATTAGGGTTCCCACTGACACTGCTAATATTTATATCAAGTGACAATAAAATTTTGATGTGATCGCTCTGATGATGAATATAGTGAGGACCTCTGAAACGTTGGTAAATTTCCACGATATTACACGGCTCATTATTCCAGAAAGCAGTCGTATTCTTAGTCGCCGCCGTGAGGACTTGAAGTCTCGCTTGTCCGCTGTAGCAATTCGTGTATCTTTATCATCCCAACACGATAAATAGCATGACGTATGATTTCGGTGGCACTACGCAGTTGCTAGGACTAGTCGTTTGTTGTCAGCATTGAATTACTGTGAGTCTCAGGGGACTGGGGGCTAAAATGGACGGGAGAGAAAGAATCAGATCGAAAAGCGACCAGGGAGAGTTGAGTTTGGAAGAGATATGTAGTGCAGTTGACAGCATCACACGCAGGGACTGGCTGTCCGTCTGCTATATCCCATCGTTAATTAGTATTCTCGCCACGCTTGATAGTGCAAAATAACGAGGTTGCGTTCCTCTGTATAATGTTTTCACTTCGTGCAGTAGATAAAACCGGAGTTTCACTGATGTTGCAGCTGCCAGTTAGAGTAATGGAGTTGCAAGTGTTGAACGAAATTCACCATCACGATTGCATAATGATGAGATTCATTTATTTATTCGGACCAGAGTCACGCAATGGGTTAACCTCACCCTTCTGTCTGTCTGTCTGTCTGTCTGTCTCTCCGGAATTGTCCGCTTACCCTTAACACAGTTATTTCAACTAACAGCACACCTTTTAACATATCAAGAGATGGCAAATGATAATGAGATTCTAGGTTCTCACGTAGTCGGATAAGAAAATGGCTGTTTTTAAAAGATGATAGGTCCCATCAATGGAGACCAACAGGATAAGATGATCTCAACATTGTTACAAGTTTTCTTAATTGTTACAAATTAGTAGTTCCGAATATTTTATGTTTTATGTAATAGGAGGTTCTGGACAGATTTAACGATGTAAGGATATTATAAAGTTGTTCCAGCGTAAAACAAAAACTGTCCCGCCACACGCCATGTGGGCGTTTGGGGGAGAGGAATATAGCTTCTACTCATTCTTAACCACGGCACGAGGGGATCATTTGTCAACGTCACGCCCCAGTCGTGCTTTACCCCCGGGAAAGGAACCCGGTTCCTTTGGACAGGAGGCTGGGTGGGCCCCAGATTTGGTCTGGACACGGAGGCTAAAGGAAAAATCCTCTGCCCCCTGCCGAGTTTCAACATAATGAGCAGGTTTCATCAACTGACGGGTATGTAATAACGAAGACGTAACATTGTTCTATGTTGCAATACAGTATTTCAGATTTTGCCTGGAGGAAACCCACAGGAAGTTTGTTCCGGACATGTCCCCTCCTGGCCGACATTCGAACTCTTAACCCTACCGAACGCGAGGCAGGGATGTTACGTACCAACCGCTACATCCGATAAAGTTTAGGGAAATGTAGTTTATCGCAAATGATGTTTGCTGGAAATCGTCAATTTATTGACAACAAGGAATTCGGAAATGATATTTCTGATCAGTTTAAACTGATTTACATTATTAATTGGTTGTTCCTTAAATTTTTGAGGTATTCTTTACCAGCTTGTAATTTTTAACTTGTAATGTTGATTCATGAGCCGGGATAGCTCAGTCAGTATAAAGACTAGCTACGGGCTGGACGACCGGGGTTCGATCCCCGACGGGGGCAGAGGATTTTTCCTCTGACCTCTGCGTCCAGACCGGCTCTGGGGCCCACCCAGCCTCCTCTACAATGGGTACCGGGGGCCTTTCCCGGGGGCAAAGCCGGCCGGGGCGCGATGCTGACCACTCACCCCCATCTAGTGCCGAGGTCAAGGAAGAGAGGAGCTATACCTCCACTCACCCCAAGGTCCAACATGGTGTATATTGGAACAGCTTTACTTTAACTTTAATGTTAATTCACTGCAGTATATGTTTTTTTGATTTTATCATTCAACGATTCTTACTGCCTTTTTGCGAATGGTTTTCTAGTCTTGCTAAATGACCTCCCAGAATTGAGAAATTTGTGTCTTAGCATCATGCTATGTAAAAAATTAAGGCGTATGTATGCATTGGTAGTAGGTCGGATTTTAAATAGACCTGTCGCACACACACATACGCGTATTCCCCACATCCTTGGCACGATTCTTTATTACAAGGGCTTCGTGTGTGAATAAATTTGTCACCAACACATCTTCACTTCCAGAGGATTGGCATAATGCCTGACAACATTTTCAAAAGTGGCACAAGTTGTTTTGCACAAACCCACTTCTGACGTAAAACGAATAGTAATTGCTTCTTAGAAAAGTTATATTTTATGGAATGGCGAGTTTGTGTGTTTCTTTTGTAAGTTCAGTGTTTTACATTTCTAAATTATACGGTTTAAAGCAAAGATTCTTAACAGCTTATTCTCAGAGTGCTACAGATCCGCTGCTTAATTTATGCCTGTCTAAAAATTCCAGTTCACACTACGTAGTATTTTTTTTATCACAGATGGAAAGAACAGGGTAGCTTTTCTTTCGCTGATTATCGACTGGAAACAGGCAAATTAAATTAATTTTATTTCTACAATATTACATATTTTTTAATTACGAATGTTAAATGTAGGTGATATGGCGTTTCCAAATTTCAAACCATATATATGGTTTGAAATTCGGAAATGCCAAATATAAAAGGAGTCAGATTCACATTTTAAATAAGTATGCTAATAAGTATTAATAACAAATTGAAGATGACTGTCTTCTGGAATGTTGCGCCGTGTAGTCTGGTAGACGTTTACTGATGTTTCAGAGGTCCTTGTTGCATCCATCATCAGGGCGATTAGCTGACATACAATTTATATTTCAGGTCCTCGGGTTTAAATTTTGCAATACAGTGTTCCTTATGATGTGTTGTCACAAGCAATACGAGAAAATTATTTTTCCGTTATGTTATTAGGTTTAAGGCTTATTTATTTCTTTCATATTCTTCTCTTTATTCCATCACGTTTAGTTTTATATATTTATCTTCTGTAATTGATATTTTATTTGCATTGCATTTCACGTGATACATGTCGATGTTGAAAATAAGATGTCTATAAGCTAAGGGCCAATGGATTGTCTTTTTCTTGGTGGCTCACTTTGCACCGTTACATAACAGTTCCAAATTTCTATGTTACTGTTTCTGTTGCCTCCAGTTTCGCCTCATTATTCTTGGGTATTGTTTGTTTTTGTGATTGAGCTAGTCATTAATACACTGCAATAAGAAACATCTGCAGGTATTACACCAGCCTTTCAGTAGGAAAAATGGAAACTTTCGTTGTTCGTACCTTTTGTTTAACATGTTGAACATAATTCAATTCTAAAGGGTTTTGACGAAGGTACTTTACACTTAAAATTATTCGTTGTCCAGTGACAGAGACTAGCTCTTTCTAAGGGACCCAACAGAGTAGGTACCTCTCACCTGAAGACGGAAACAGAACCAGCCTCCGAAACGTCGTGATTTTAAAAACATACGATGGAAAAAGTCCTGACAACGAATAATTTTAAATGTTGTACATAACCTCAGCATTTCTACATGTCAGTGTGTAACAGATAAAACAACAAATAACTAAATAATTCACGATAAACCTATGTATTTATTTAATTTGAAAATACACTTGGTCTTGTAAGTTGAAAAATTTCCCTTTGGTACGCAAGCGCGTTTCATATGATAACACCGTGAACATATTGTATATGTATTTTTGTACTAATGTTACACGTAGTAGCCAATGCACATTTCCAATCATGCAGTTCCATGCATGGCAAAGATAGGTTGAAGGGTTTTCGGGGAATGGGAGGGTTATAGCCGTATTGTGCTAGAGTTTTCGATGCAGTTCGCATGCACACCAATATCCAAATGAACCAACGTCATGCGTCTCTCTGAATGGGGTCCACACAATGAGGGCTTATTCTCTTCATGCTATGTCCATTACTGCCTTCACTCGAAGCGTTAATGT